CGTATCTGGATGAAAGGATAACAATATATTACAAAAATAATAGTTTGATTCTGTATCTTCTTATTTTTCCCCTGGATTGACTGCCAGAAACTGATTTGCTACTTTGAAAGTGAGATAAAATCAAACTTGTTAGTGTCAGATTTAATGAAAGCCTCTCTCTTTTTTATTGCTTTTCTACTGATAAGAGTCTTTGTCTAAGCTTTTGTCTTAAAAGCACAGGTGTAGAGCTTCTGGCACACCTGATGTTCTTTTTCATGTAGAAATTTGTCCATCTGAATAGGTATGAAAATTACAATTTAGCTTTGTTATCTTAATTTATCTCATTGTAGTCACTGTATTTCTTTATTTTTACAGTTGCTGCCAGGATCCAAATAACATGCAGATCCCATTATTAATTTAACATTGATATAGATGCCACCTTCTCTGAAATGGGTAGTTTATTACCAGCAGTAGGTGAAAAGTCAATGGCTTTATGGTGGAAAAGGTCAAATTGCATCCAAGTTCAACTGTATAATATGCAATAGCTGAGAAACAGGATTTAATTTATTATTAAACTTGTACATGCCTTTGGAAGCTGATCGTTTTGCCTGACTTTTCCTGACTGGTTAGGTATCCAAACTTATGAGAAACCTGATGTACGATCCTACGGTGCTGAAACCAGTTGAATTTTTCTAACACAATTTTTCTCGTTAGCTTGAATTCAGCTGTACATAATTTGTCCTCCAGGAAAGGTCTTTGACTGTATTTCCCATCTGCACTGATGATGATGATGAGGTGTGCTCGACTTCCCTACAACCAAAATAAGTTAGCCCATCTCCTATATCCTGTGGATGGCGCTTTGAGTTTGTCTTCTGATACAGCCTGCAGCATCTCCTGCTGTTCGGTTTCTGAGCCAGGGTTGACATCAGGATTTCTCTCTTACCGGCTTGGCCCACCAACAGGGGACAGAGGGGCTGTGTCACCTTCTGAAGGCCAGTGTGTCTCCTTCAGGGAGGCAGAGATCGCCTCAGCTCCTCTGGACTACAGCTGTGGGGACAATGATCACAACTTCTTCAACACCCTGTTCAACAGAGCTCAGAGGATCCAGTTATTCCTGCAGTGAGGCAGGTGAAAAGTAGTCATCATAAAAATGGAAGACAAATAAGCTCCTGAAGAGCACGCTAGAAGAAGCAAAGAGGCACGTTTCTTGAGAAGAAACAAATCTAAGCAGTGTCTGGAAGGGGGCTAAATCACAAAGTACTCAGAAGTTCCCAGTGAACAGAGGCAGGGAACTGTGTTCACAGGCGTATTTTTAATTCTGAGGAGCTGTGAAAATCTCTTGATGCATCTAAATGGATAGGTGATCCATTTATAAATACTCTTCTACGGCTGAAAGTGGTTTCTGTGGTGAGTATATTCTCAGACTGAAAAGGTTAAACCAGAAACTGGACTAGTGAAGCAGAAAACGTACTTGGGCTCCTGGTCATTTAAAGGGTTGGGGTAGATGCCAGTGCAGAGAGGGCACTGCTGAAAAGCCTGGGCAAAAAAAAAGAGTGTGCATAGAGCAGTAGATCTCCAACTATGGTAGCTGAGGGGTCATGGCATGTTATCCAGTTTGATGTATTAAATTCACAGACTGTCAGGCAAATATTGTTGTGAAGAAATAGCCCAGAATGTGAGGAAGGGCTGATGCACCACACCCTCCACCCACCCCCCCCAAGATGCACAGCAGCTTTTAAGGAAGTGGGTCTCATGTTTGTCACTGAGATGGCAAATGGTGTTTCTAAAAAAAGGAACTGCAATACATTTGTGGTTGTGTTTCTAGGATATTTTGCACATGAGCCTCCAGCAGAAAACAGAGTAGGATGGATCTCTACAACAGCAGCTGAGAATTAATCTTTAACTGCTCAATCTCAACTCATTCATTTTCTATAGGTTTGAGACAGAAAATTCTCTAACACCATGTCCAGAGTATGCTGCAGTATTTGCTCCAAACTGGTATTGCTGAATGACTAAAATCTGACTGTTAAATCAAAAACTGGTACTGTGTGGATTCTTCAAGATCTTCTGAAGTCTAACCAGACTCTGGATTTCTTTTAAATACAGTAAAATAGCCATCAGTTCTGTCACTTCTGTACTTAACATCTCAATTTCTTTAACAACAGCCTTGACAAACCTGCTTCATTTGAAAAAGGGATTCACAGGAAATGGATTTTTATTTTTAGCTTTCAGGGAACACATGGAGCTGGCAACTAAAATAGCAACAGATGGGGAACCCTGTTCTCTCTGCTGAGGAAGAACCTTCAAAGGCCTTGGGCCATCTTTCCATCTCAGCAAATCCTAACTTGAGTTTTTGTCACATTTTCGAATATATGATCGTCTTCAAATAGTTTGATTTAAAAAATCAAGCAAACTGGATAGAAAATGCACAGTGTACTAAGGCTATTTCCTTCTCTACTAGCAACTGTTTCTTCAGGATGAGTAAACAGGCTTCCAAATAGATAATAAGCAGGAACCAAGTTTCAATAATTTTTCTGGATCTTTCTACAGCTGGGCAGCAGAAGGTGTGCTGGAGGAAGGATGCTCTGGGTAGCTCTGGGTAGTGAGGACTGGGCAGGTACCACCTTCCAGTTAGTGCCACATCCCTCCCAGTGAAACTGCAAAGCTCTCCTCTTCACCCTTCAGTGCAGTCGAAACAACTACAGCAATGCCAAGAAAGACTCAAAATAAATGTCCTTGGTCTGCCACAGCCCTCCTGAGAGTAACAGGGCAGGCTGTCAGGAGCCTCATCTGTCTTGCACCCAAATCCTGCCACACGGGAAGGGATGGCCTTCCCTCAATGCAGTACCTGCTGGTGCTCCCACCGCGCCGCTCAGCTCTCCTGTGCATCCCTGTGCTCTTGCTGGCAGTGCTTCTGTGTCCAGCCCATCCTTCCCATAAACCCTTTGGGAATCCTGCGGGGACTGCAGGATGGCAGATTTCACCACAGGAGCCCATAGTGCCTAAGAATGTCTCAGAGTCCCAAAACTCCCCACCTCCCTTCAGTTTGTTCAAATTCCTTTAATGAAGGGAGGTCTCCATATCTACTTCAGCTGGTTTCTGTCTCACCTTTTTCATCCACCATCTCCTGGCATTCTTTTGTATTCCTTCCATGCTGCAGTTTCTCACAACTATCCCCTGTGGCCCCAAGAGCTTTTTCCTGAGTGGCAATAGCTCATTGTTGCATGGCTAGTAGGGCTCTTGTCCTCCCCCTGAAACTGCTGCTTTGTCCCCCCCGTGCTGTGACCATCACCCTGCTGCTTCTTGCAGCCAGCTTTCGGGATGGACTTCTGGAACAACTCGGTGGGTCACCAGGCTCCATCATTTCATGACTCGTTCCCCTTTCCTGGGTAACAGCCTGCGAAGGCTCAGGCTGCAGAAAGGATCCTTCTGGCAGGTCACAGACGTGGGGCAGCGAAGAATCCCTTGGTGTATTCCCACCCTTAATCCCTCGGCGTATTCCCACCCTTACCCCCCCGGTGCATTCCACCTGGACACGCTCCCCTTCGGCCCGTGCAGAGGGAGATGCAGCCACCGCGCCGCAACCGGGACCGTCGGGAAGCGGCTGCTGCGGGGCTCCCTGGAAACTCCTTTGCGCCTCTGCTGCACTGACCTGTGCCAGACCTGAGGCCCTGACCCCTCCGCCAAGGACGGGGACAGCGAGG